CCCACCCGGGCAGCACTCCAGCTGCTCTGCCCCAGGTATCTCCGATCCGGCGCCGGCTGAAACTGACCAGCGGCAGCTGAATCAGGGACGCCTGGGGCAGAGCCGGACTATCGTAAGGGGGGGCTGAGGGGTCTGGGGTGGCATCCCCTCCCACCCCACTCCAGACCCCTCATAGCCCCCCCTTCTGATAGTCCGGCATATCTGATAGTCCAGCACCCCCTGGATCCTAAAGGTGCCAGATTATCGGAAGTTTACTGTACCAGGTTTCCAGATGACCAGTTTGCTTACATCAGTTGTATCAGTTATTTTCAAATGTGACGATCATGCTTGCGTTGCGCCTGTGAAGTATTTGGTTTGTCAGCAGGGCTGGTTTAAATTCCACTGTGATCTATTAAATTACTGTTGTAACTGAAGTCAGGTACAGGAAACCCCTAAGTTGCGACTCCCTGCACTTACAACCATTTTTGTAAATGTGGAATGGGCTGAAAACCCCTCATTTACATCCTTGGCTTGCATTTACGATGACACATGACATCTATTGTAAATGAAGGTTCAAGTTAAGACACCCCTGACTTGCGATGCTTCCCCAGGAACCGATACTGTCCATATTTTAACACCTAAGGCTCTGCCCACATAGCAACAGGCAAGAAAATTAATTAAAAGCTATGAATATGACGTGTAATAGTTAAACTGCATTAAACTTCTGTGTAGATGCTGTTGTAAAGAATTGAAATGGCCTTAGTTTGTTTTATTTGGTTTATTTTAAGTGATGAACTAAATAGGATTAAATTTGCCTCCAAAGTAAATTGAAATAAACTAAGCTAAGGCCACTTGAATTCAGAATCAATAAGTTCATGCAGGAGTTGAATGTATTTTAATTATGCTACTTTGAGTTCAGATCTTGAATTTGAATTTATTTTCTTGACCCTATCTGCATAGACAACACATTTTAGATTGACTTTTGAATCTCTAATATCTTTTACCCTTCAGGGAGTAATCAAAAAAACCATTTGCTTGATGCACAGACTGACTTTCCTAGAGCTCAAGTCCCTTCACTCTGCCCCCAAAATACATCCCCAATCTCTGTTGGGCTTGAGAGGATGTGGAAGCGCTGTAGGAGGGCCTACAAGTCACATACCTCCTTGGAGATGGGGGCTGATTGGAGTTGGGTAGGAATTGGACAAGTATATATTTCACTTCAAGGGGTCATGTGGTGGCTCCATTTCAATTGGAATGAATTAAATGTGGTCAGTGATAGAGATGTTAAGGACTAGTCGCTTCTTCCCCCTCACCCACTGCCTCTATCAGGCAGCAAGGGAGGAAGAGGAGAGTACTTCAGAGTGGCAGCACCACATGGAGCCAGGGCACTGTGCAGCACTGAGGCTTTGAAATGCTACCGCATCGACTGTTGGATTACTGAATTACACAATACTTAACATCCTTAATCAGTGAGGGAAAAACTGGAAGGCCACGAACTACAGGAAGCTTTTCAAAGAGTATCTGTTCTAATGAACCTGTAGCTCATCATAGGTGGGCCATCAGAACAGGGCTGCTTTTAGCACCACTTCTGACTGCAAATCCCCTAAAGCAGCTGTTGCCTGTGGCTCATGAGCCATGTGCTGCTCTTGCCCCCCAAAACTGCGACTCGCGAAGCTGCTCCTGCATGGCCCCCGGCTTCCCTGTGCTTACTGGGTCAGAGTTGCAGGGTTTTAAAAATGGGCGCCCAAGATGGTGGCCATCTTTAAGTGGCAGTCTCCTTTTTTTAAAAAAGTGTTTTTTTAATTTTTTTTTGTTTTTGCTTGACAATTCTGTTCGGGGGGGGGGGGGGCCCCTTCCCCCCCCCCCCCCCCCCCCCTCCTGCCCGGTCCCCCCGCTTCTTTGTTAAATGGGTTGGCCACCCCTGCCCTAAAGGATGACCTATTAAATTCCATATGTACCATCTTAAGGTCAGTCCCATACTCCCTTATGTCACTCCATACTCGAGCTTAATTCGCACATGTACTTCCCACCCATGGATTGCTACGTGTTGTCCTTGTAAACATTATCATCCTACATAACTTTGACCTTCTGTGCTCTTCACTAGGGATGTGAATGGTAACTGGTTAACTGGTAAGCGTCACCTGTAAGTGATGTTTATTGGCTACCAGTTAACTGGTACCCAGAAATAGCTCTGCCTGCAGCCCACCACCAGCATAGGGCTGCTCCAGCTCTGTGGGAGGTTTGAGATTTTTACATCCCTACTCCCCGTAGGCCCTTGCAGGGATGGGGATAGAGATTAGGGTCTCCTAAGGAATATGGAAAATGATTGCTACTATAGTGAGGACAGCAAGAGTTAGGGTTAGGTTCTAGGGAGGCATAAATGTCAAGAGACTATAAGGTGGGTATCATGTTTTCTTAGTTAAACATGTTGTTGTTGATTTGAATGGGTTATGCCAATTTGAAAAATGGGGTCTGTAAATTGTAGATGTATATTACAGGAGACAAATAGCAGTCCATATTAAAGGTTCCGTTTAGAACAGCAGTTCTGTATTTGAAGGTAAACTGGTGTTTCCTAAATGATCACTTTTATTTGTGTTTTTCCTTCAGGGCAAACTCTCTGATCAGGTTTACAACTATCCCGAAGGCCTAGGAGAAGTGCTTTATAGAGAACAGTTCGACTTCAACGCGGAGCCACCTTGGGAACCTAGCTGATGATAGTAGGGTTCCATCTCCTAACTTGTCCATGTAAGTTATCTTTAACTGCTATGTAGGGGAGTGGTGTGAGCAAGAATGCAACCTAGAGAAATGTATAGGAAACATATCTTTTTCTCTCATAAATTTAGATACCTTGACTAATATTTAATGTACTTCATTGCAAAAGATTTTTATAGGTGGGGAAATGTATGGAATCTTTGGCTGTGAATCAGGAAAGCAGTTAAACGAATGTTGAAATTGTTCCTTATTCAGGAGCATTGTGCTTAATCATGTGTTGAAGTCCCCCTGAAGTCAGATATATTAAATGCTTTCCTGAATCATGGCTATAAGCTACAGAAAAAAATGAAAATAAAATGTGTTCACTGTTACTGCTATTTCACAATTTAGTGCTATTCTAAATTAAAGATGATAGCTTTTTAGAATATTGAATGTTTGGCACAGTACCATGTTTTTCGTGTTTTATATTTAAATAGTTAAATCTGCTAATGTAAACTGTATGAATACTGCTTTTGAAGGGTGTGCCTCTGCAAAAGCCTGTCTGCATTATTTAATTACCTTGCTACTTCCACAAATAGCTATAGTCCAGTTAGAATAGAACCTAATTTCTTGGAAATGCAGAACTTGTGCCAGTCATCTTTCAGTCAATTTACTGGGGTGGTTTTTTCCAATGGCCTCTTAACCTGCAAAATCTTGCTTGGTGTTTTGCACTTCTTTAGATAGGCCTCTTGTATAATACTGTAAAACAATTGCTTTAGGTGACTTTAATACATTCTTACCAATGGTAAGAATTAACTCTAAAAGTTAAGATGATGTGATAAACTATGCATGGTACCCTTATTTTTTTCTCAGTTTGATTCAAAGTAATATGCTATGTTGCTTTATTTGCTAATTGCTGTGTAACTCTTAGAAATCTCTCTGGAATTTTATATAAAAGCACCCAAAGTGTGTTAGGAATACTCAAGTGCTTTTGAAATCTCCCCTCAGACTTCAGGTACCTTTATAAATACTGTCAGGAACACTATCCCTCATGATACCACTGTACACCTGGTGACTAAGCTTTGTGACTTTGTCCTCACCCACAATTATTTCTAATTTCGGGACAATTTATATCTTTAAGCCAGATGCACAATTATGGGCATTCACATGGCCCCGCAATATGCCAACATCTTTATGGCTGACCTCCAACGTTTCCTCAGCTCTTGTTCCCTAGCCCTCTTACTCTACTTATGCTACATTGGCGGCGTCATGTGGACACCTGGGAAGAAGACCCTTCAATTCCAGAGGGATTTCAACAACTTCCACCCCACCATCACCCTTAGTCTTGGATCAGTCCAAACAAGAGATCCACTTCTTTGACACGACAGTACAATGAAATGGCAGCCACATTTCCACCACCTTATAACGGAAGCCTACCATCAGTTTCACTTATGTACATGCCTCTAGCTTCTATGCTAGACAAGTTTCTCAATCAGTTGTTTACAGCCTGGCCCTAAGATACAACTGGATTTGCTCCAATCCCACAGACAGACACCTACAGCATCTCTATTGGGCATTCTTAAAACTTAAATATCCACCTGGGCAAGTTAAACAGATTGCAAGAGCCAGACAGACAAGTACCCAGGCATCAGCTTCTTCTAGTTGGGTCCAACAAACAAAAGAACAGAACACCACTAGTCATCCCCTACAGCCCCCCGTTGAAACCCTTTCCAGTGCATCATTAACAATCTAACTTATTCTGGAAAATGATCCCTCACTCTCACAGGCCTTGGGGGATAGGCCAATCCTCACCTACAGACAGCCCCCTAACCTGAAACACATTCTTTCTAGCAACCACGCACCACACCTCCGTCATCCTCACCCAGGAACCCAGCCCTGCAATAAACTTCAGCGCTAACTCGGTCCATACATCTATGCAAGCGATGTCACAGGACCTGACCATGTAAGCCAACACATCAGAGGCTCATACAATTGCATATCCATTGTGATCATGCCAGCAATGCTCCTCTGCCATGTATATTGGCCAAACTGGACAGTCTTTATGACAAAGGATTAATGGACGCAAATCAGATATTCAAAGTGGTAACATGTATAAACCTGTTGGGGGAAACGTTTTAACTTGCTCGGGCACTCTCACTAATGGGTATAAAAGTGACTACATATTACGAAGCATTTTCAAAAACAAGCTGGAGCGTGAAGCTATGGAACTTGCCTTCATTTTGCAATTTGACACCCTTCTAATCAAGGTTTGAACAAAGACAAGAACTGGATGGGCCTCTACATTCAACATCCTAATGACATCAAAAGCTTACTATTGGGCACTTACCGCCCACTCTACTAGCCCCATTTAGCATGGACACTGTAAACCTCTCCCTATCCCCTTCTTTTTCTGCTACGTATTTGTATTGCAAAACTCCTTGGCTGCATTCTTCTGAAGAGGTTATGCCCACGAAAGCTCATTTAGGCATCTAATACAGATGGAGTCAAATTTTGTTTTTAATTTAATCTAAACATACCTCCTTTTATTCCAGTCTTCTGAGAGAATGTCTCAATTTGAAAACTCCCTGAAAATCCTTTACTTGCTTTTTTGCCAATAACATCTTTCTCTTGAGTAATCATGGATTTTTTTTTCTCCACTTTGAGTTTGACTCAACTTTGTAAATGGTCACTTATCCTTGATAGATGGGTCTTTCACAGTGACTGGGAATAGAGGAAGTACGTTTGAAGTGTTAGGAAAATGTTGTTGCAGAATCAGAATTGACTTAGGGACTTGATGGTGCAATGTTAAGTCTTAGTTTACCAGTTTAAAAAAAAAAAAAACCAGATGTGTCATTGGGAATAATGGGAAAATTGGTCTGAGTTTTAAGAAAAAAAGATGTGCCCCAAAGGTATTATATTTGTAACAGGGTATTCAGACACTCTGGTTTTCTGTTTTGTAATTAGTCTTCAAATAGTAAGAAATGAATTGGAGATTAAAGCTTACGTTATTTTTGATGTGTCAAGCCACAGCGCACACATTTTCATCAGCCAATATATACGTACGTCTTGGCTGTGCTAAAGCACAGCCGTCCCTCAACACACAGCCAAGATGTGCTTAAAATAGTTGATTGATGTACACCTTGGGAGTTTGTTCCACTTATAAAATGGTTTATTGAGGAAAGTCAATTAAGCATAATTATTAATCTCTTTTATATGGATGCTCATAAAAATCTGCTTATGTCTGAGAGTGTGTTTATAGTCTCATTAAACCTACTTCCTTCCCATTTTTCTTCCTCCTTTTCTATCTGATGGTGGCTAAGAAGGAACTGCTTGAGCTGTTTTTCTTTGGCACCATTATGAGCCCATTCTTTTCTTTAGCTCTGCCTGCTCTTTCAAGCCTTGCTCTTGCTGAATAGCATATCTGGGCTAGCATATGTGGTCTGAACTACTTCAGACAATCTGCTTTTGTTTTCTGTCAGATCCAGCTGATTGGAGAGATGTAGGGAATTAGTAGGCAGTGGGGAGGCCATTTAACTTTTAGCTAGTCCCTCTTATTGGACCCCTCCATTTCCATGAATGGAAGAGTTGAATTCCAGGCACATCCTATTTTCCTGCCAGAACTAAACCCTGACCTTGCTTTAAGTTAGGATAAGAAGAAGGTGCATTCCGAATTTGGCAGTGTTGTCTCTTACCATTCAGGAGTAGTTCTTGAACAGATTCCCAGACAGATGCACAAACTCTCTAAAATGTGTATAGAAAAGAGATGTATGATTTATTAGATAGTCAATATAACTTTTACTGTATATATGGCCCAGTTGTAGAGCTGTAGTTAACTGCAAATACAGGAAACTTGGTAAGCTAAACACATCAGCTCAGTGTTTCTTCAGTAATGTAATCAGTGGAAAAGGGCAGCCAAGAAGTAACTTTGCCAGCAGATGTTGTGGGATCATAGACTTCCATAACTTTTTAGAAACCTGTAACACAGATGCCCTTCTGCACAACCTTGGATCCTCATACCATATGCTAGGTTTCCTGCTTGAAGACCTAGGTAGGTACTCAGTGCTCTCTACCTGCAAGACACCGTACAATGGAGTTGGGGTGATAGTCTCTCTCATCAGTACAGGCAAGTGTCTCCTCAGATTGCCACAGTCCAGATGTTGGTCATGGCAACAGTCCCCTTCCTCCCAGTGTTGTTCATTTGGGCAGATGCTATTCTTTGCCTTCTCATCACCAGTCACTGACCAGAGTCAGGTGGCAAAGTCAGGCTTTGACAACTCCACCCTAATCACTGGAAGGGCATGGGTTTGAGTAGGACTGGGAGTTTAGTTCCTTGACAACAAGGGGTGGATCACTGACTTGAGATGGGTGTGGCAGCCACAGCAACAACTTGACAGCAGGGGCAGAGGCCTGCTCAATAGTCATGTTAAAACCTGTAGGGCATGCCAGTAATGCTGGTCTTGCATTCCCACCAGCCTCCCTGGCACTGGAGTTGGAATGCAATGCTGAATCCGACCCGGGCAGCACACTGAAATCCAGCACCTAAGGAGCAGTCTCCAAAGAGGTAGGGGAACCTGATTTTCCACAGGTAGTATAGCTGTTGTCATCCATGGATGAAGCAGAGGCAAGCAGTTCCCCAAACAAATTCAAAGAGTACCAGATGAGCCTTAAAAGGGTGGCTGTTAACTTGAACCTACAAACTGAGGAAGTTGTAGAGGGGTCTGACCTCAGTAATATCTTCTGCTGCCCTGTCCTGAGTCACACTGCCCATCCACCCCAGGATTCTTAAATTGCCCAGTCTCTGTAGCAAGCCCTCTTCATTCCACCAACTTGTACGAAAGCAGAAAAGTATGTCCCTGCATAAAGATTCAAATACCTCTACATACAACGTTCAGTGGTATCACTGGTTGTGTCTGCTCTGAATGAAGGGGGCAGGCTGTCCGGGTTAGTGGCAACCCAAAGAACAAAGATGGCAAGACACTTGGTGTGTTGGGTTTTTTGTTTTTGTGTGTTTTGGTGGAAAGACTTTTGACTGCCAGCCTACAGTTCAGGGTGTC